AGCTGCAAGGTGATCAAACTGATGTTGCAGAGGAATTGACAAAACGAAAGTTTTCGATTGAAGAAAGAATGAATGAAATTGACGAAAGAACGGAAGGAACCACGGCTGTGGAATTAACGTTAAATTATGGAAAAGAACATTTATCGGTGGGCAGAACTTCGTTCTCTCCGATAGACAACAGCGTCTTTGGAGGCAAACAAGAAGGTGATTGGGCGATCCGCTCGACAGCAAAAGTCGCTGGTGATGAAATAAAAAGGAGCGAAATGACAGACAGTGAAGATCACTTCCTCTACCTTCGAGAAAATCCTGGTACTTCTGAGCCTCTGACAATCGTGGATGACGTAACCCTTTTCAAAAAGCTGGATCAAAACGATTCGGAAGACATGAACAACGGCGAGGAGGAGAAAACAAACTATACATCAAACTCATTAGTTCTAAATCACGCCGAAGCTCGGGAAACCACAAATCTTGATGACAATTTGTTCATAATTGAAGCTCCTGCTGTCATTCACGACATGAATTCTATTGCTCACATTAAAGTTCAAATTCACTCCGGTGTCGAAGATCATGCTAACATTTTAGACCAAGCATCAGATTACAAGTATAATCGAATAGTCTCTGATAATATGGCGGAGCGGTCTTCTGTTTCCAATGATGCTCATGTATTCAACGAGTCTGGCAACATTCATGAGGGCCCAGGATTAATAACTAAAACTGCGCCAGTATGGTCACAAGACCGCCTAACAATCCAGCAAGTGTCAGGGGAGATGGAAGAACCATCTTCGGATCCCGAGGCAGTCAAAGGAGACACGGATCCTAATGTTTTAACTCAAACATTACCAAAGGAAGAAAATTCTGTTGATAATAATTTTCACGAGCCATCAAAAGTGGAACAAAATTATGACGGACCACATGGATCCGAAATTACAATGAATGATGAGTTGAAAGTCTTCGAAAATGTCAATGCTCGTCAAATGCCGCATGAAGAAAATATTGAATTTATTGACGAACAAAATTTCACTACGAACGATGACGATACAAACGAAATTCATCACAACAGACGTGGCTTTGAATCGCAGCAAGGCAATAATATTTTAGAAACTGATCGATCAGTGGCGAGTCAGTGCTCATTTTCTCCCGAAGAAGTTCATGATATTGTAACAAATCATCCACCGATGCGCGACATTTCTTCCCCCATTTTATCAATAGGCGAAGATTTGATCCGAAACGCCGCCACCGAGTCAGACCGCGTGAGCATCAAGAATCAAATTAACGCTTTGATCGCCCAACAGTACAGCTCGCGGTCAAGCTCTCCGGCAGCAGTAGACTCTAACTCACAGGCCAACTTTCCAGCAGAAACAAATACTGAATCTCACACCAACGTTCCAGCAGCAGCAACAGACTCCAATTCCCAGTCCAACTCCTCAGCAGCAACAGACTCCAGTTCCCAGGCCAACTCCCCAGCAGCAACAGACTCTGATCCCCAGGCCAAATCCCCAGCAGCAACAGACTCCAATTCCCAGTCCAATTCCCCAGCAGCAACAGACTCCAGTTCCCAGGCCAACTCCCCAGCAGCAACAGACTCCAATTCCCAGTCCAACTCCCCAGCAGCAACAGACTCCAATTCCCAGTCCAACTCCCCAGCAGCAACAGACTCCAGTTCCCAGCACAGTTTGTCCCCTAGGAAGCACCTCTCCAGCTCTTCGTCAAATTCGCCCACATCTTCCACCTCAATCCCGCGGTCGCAGTCCACAGCAGCGCGACTGTACGGGAGCAACACAGGACAAGCGAGTCCTGCGTTGATGGCTGTGCCCTCATCAACGGCAGTCGCGCACGCAACACTCGAGCGCGTGTCGTAAAATGCCATTTGAAGATATCACATATTTTAACAAATAATTTTTTTCGAATAAAAACCTTGAGAAATTCAATTCTTTTCGGGATAATGTTTAAAATTTATATAAAAGGTATTTGTTTGTGTTGCAAGAATTCTAAAGCTCTAGGCGGTTGTATTCTGCTTTCAACGCTCTCTATTTTGTATTTGTCGGCCATGCAAAAAGAAATTCCAGATTTCATGTTCCAGCTTGTGGAAGATGGTCAAGTCTGCCGTCATTATGTTAAACAATTTCGCGCTAGTGAACGAGGGTAGTGAGAGCTATTTTTCTAGGCTACCCTTCTTGAGGAAAATACATACGGATGCCAATTATATTATTTATACCATTAAATATGGTGTGAAGAATTTCGTAGATAGAATCTTCTTTGTGGGTAAAATGATTTGATAAGCGTTGAGTGAAGTTACTTGCCAACGGTTTCTGGCGAAGTCAAAACTTTTAAAACCAAAACTAAACAACTTATGACGAAATATAAAACGTGCATATATATATATATACAATAATTGTACAAACACAAGTCAGTAAAATAGCCGCGAATACAGTGGTTTGACTTACCAAATTATTTGGGATAAGCTCGGTTCGTCTATAAGTAAAAGCTTTCGTCGTACAATGACGGTCTATGCTAATAGCAGCGCCCTAGTTGGTTACGCTTGCTAGGGAATGGGACGAATCTAAAATTGTATATCAGGTTCACATGAGAAAACCCTTTACATATGGTATGTGCATTAAAATGGTAGATTGCGGATTTAGGGAAAATATGTGCCGGCAAAGATGATATCCTGAGAGACCGGACATTTAATGGTCAATTTGCAGGCTGTTAACTGTTATAATTTTGATAGAACTTGATAAATGTTATATTATTACCTGGTTGCATTTACTGAGCATATTTAGAGTGCGACTCTTCGGGCGATACAATTGAATGAATGATTTTCATTTGAGTTGTGGATTTTCAGTTGGTAGTCTTTGTATTGCTGCACATCACCATTTTTCTTGTTTATCTTCATAAAGAATATTCAGCATTATATGTCTTTGTTATTTTTCTATTAGCAGTAAACTCACCATCTTCTGATAATGTATTGTACAAAAATGTGTATTTGTACAGTCATATTAGTATTAGATGATAAAATATGTTTGTTTAGAAACGTGCAGTACGCGTAATCAGATAAAATATTCACTATAATAAATAGTGTACATATATTACACTATTTATTTATTTATTTATTATAATATATTATTATTATATTATATTATATATATATATATCATATTATTTATTATAATTCATGTACATATATTGCAGCTTTATTGCTCCAGCCTATACAATAAATATTGGCCTCTCATCCACGGTGTTTTCTTTATTACGATTAAACTTTCTTTAATAATTCTGATTCCCATTTGCTTTGCAGTATTTGAAATATTTACAGCAAGCTGTTTAACATGTTGACTACGATTACTTCATCTTGTACTATTATTTCATTTTTTGTACTGTTTTTAAGCAGGGTTGCCAGACGGTCATTTTTTTCTGGACAAATTCCGTGATTTAGTTTTTCTCAATTGCGTTGGCCGGCTAAAATTTATGATAGGGGTACTTCCTAATTAAATTTTAAATACTGCAAAAAAGAAAATAAATGGAATTTTTATAGCGGAACCTACAAATAAACTAGTATACATTGAATTAACGGCCTTTTTCGTTCTCGGATTTGGCCGATTTTAGACTATACCTGTATTATGTACCACTACCTCCTGCAGAAATACATTTCGTGGTACGCATATGTACCAATACGTAGTCAACGTGTTAAATCATGATTTGGAGCGTTTTACATTTATTCCCTTCATGATCTCCTCAGAAATGAGTTCTAGTGAACTGTCATTAAATCAAGTTGAGCTCTCATGTTCACTTATAATTTAGCTCTCATGTTCACTTATAATTTAGCTCTCATGTTCACTTATAACAGCTGCCAGAACAATTGCACTTCTGTCGCTTATCACGCAACGAAAAATGCAAAGGACTAAAAAATTCAGTGTGATATATGGTGAGGACTCCAAATCGACCCATGATTTTCATTTTCCAGCAATAATATAGCTTACAATTATCAGTAACTGCCGAGGATATGTCTCAGGTAGTCTTCTACGGAACTCCTAAATTTTTTATGACAACTTGCGTTAGAATTCATTTAAGAATTCAAAAAATATATAAACTATATACAACTTTAAATTTCCCTAGGAACAAAGGGTTCAAAGGAAAAAATCGTAAGCTTAAACATTATATTGGATGCCTAAGTTCAGAAAATGTCCTTATTGACCTCGACCCTAATGCAGCTAACGGTGAATGAATCAAATTGCTTATGAGTTGAATTGATGATCATCAAATTCACTGAGAATAAATTGTGTTTTCAAATTGAACAAAATTTCATACCTGGGCTGAAGTAGGAATAAGTCACGGAATTGTAAGACGGAACAATTTTGAACACTCGTGACATCCATGGTTGAACTAGTAGATTCAACCATGCGTGACATCAGCCGCAGTGACAATCAATAACTCGTGAGTACGTAATGCGACCTTGAGAGCGACAGGTGAATGCCCTGCACGGTACAGGGCAGACACAGCAGTAAGACCTGCCATCAGTCAGCAGGCTAATGCCCTGCACGGCACAGGGCCTGTCTCTTATACACATCTAGATGTGTATAAGAGACAGGCACAGTTGAAGGCCCTGTACTGCACAGGTGAAGGCCCTGTACTGCACAGGTGAAGGCCCTGTACTGCACAGGTGAAGGCCCTGTACTGCACAGGTGAAGGCCCTGTACTGCACAGGGGAAGGCCCTGTACTGCACAGGTGAAGGCCCTGTACTGCACAGGTGAAGGCACTGTATTGCACAGGGCAGGCACAGGAGGAAGGCTCATCAAGTGTACCGATCTATTAACAATTCCCCATGTTCAAGTTTAAGAGATTGTTCAGGAGCTCATGACGTGCTTTGTTAAGAAGATAATTCATGAAATCATGAATTATGTTGATGACCTGAAGCCTGAAAGTGATAATATAATGGGTGTCACACAAAAATATTCGCGATATTTAATGATTGCATCTTCGCTCGGACACAAATTGTGGGGCACCCTGTATCTGTTTTTATGACTTCTTGCACAATAAAAAACTTTTTAATTTGGATGCGTAAATGAAACATTCTACAAATGAAATTAATGGACAACATTTAATTTAAGGCATAATTTTTACACTCGCTACAACAAAGATTGTACAACGACACAAATTCGTTTCGTTTCAACAGGTAAGTTCTGCAACTAAACTAAACTGTCTGTCGATTAACTATATTGCCGCATTCAATGATAGTTTTTCTCGTTTTTTTTTCTGCATTTTTGATTGCCCACAATCACAAGCGAAAAAATAGAGACATTTTCTTTCGTGCATGTTCAAGATTTTGGACTTGCAACTATTATTATCGCAAATTATGTAGAAAATCCTCTCAATTGAAGCCTAGTAGTTTTGAGCCGAACACGTTAATTCTGTCCATATGATGAACCTAATCTTGTTAATACACTGAAATATGCAATCCAGTCTTGTTTAAACACTGAAAATCAGGGATTCAAAATACACGAATCTTACGAATAACTAGCAGGCGAAAAAAGTTAACTTCTTTTTACTTTTGCCTTGTAATACAAAGTGATTCTCGACCATTTTAACGTCCAATACGGCTAGACTTAGTAGCTACAATGCTTATTCATTGTGTGGAAATCTACTTATTGAATATTTCACAGACTATTAAGAGTTTTGATTTTCAGTATAAAGCATCAGTAACTACATTGTAGCTACTTAAGCCTTCGAAAGCACAAAAAGCCGTCGTGCAGGTCAGTAGGACGGTAGTTGATCTATAGTCTATACAAATGAATATTTCGTTGACTCGCAGGGTCTTGACAAATACCCTATTAGTATTAAACTCCCCTTATGATACTGAGATTTAGATTATACTCGATAAGTTAATTCTTCATCTAATAATGACTAAGTGGTAAATTTTAGAGCTTGGTATGAGACGAGGATGGCAGTGCACGTGAGACTCGCCATGTTGGCGGCGGCTATAGTGGAGTGGACGCGTCGGAAGGCGCGATGCAGCTTCATGTAGTGAGGGCAGTGACTAAGCCGACCAGGCGCAGTGCTGCCAACCTCTCCGCCTAATCCTTCCTCGCTCTCGATCGCCATCTGCAGTGAGCGTCAGGGGCACGTCAGATCATGGTTGAATGAATATTAATTCAACCATGCGTCGGATGAACAGCGACTAGCATTTAAGTGAGATATGATTAGTGATTTATCTCGTAAAACGGACGGTTATTCGTGTGCTTGGTAAATGGTAAATGAGCTTTGACAAAAAGGATGGTTCCATACAAGAATTGTTGCGGGCAAACGACACAAAAAAATAAAAATTAATAAAAATTTTCAATTGTATATATGTATATAAAGGACATTTAATTGAATCTTATATAATAAATTTGATCCTAATTAACGTAACTTGTAATGTTATACAACATGAAATAGCATTATCTGACACATGACAAGTTACAGAGCAAGGAGAATACGTTGCGACCTTGATGGCGATGAGGCGCGTGAGGTGTGGCGCGAGATGCACACGGACCACGAGGTTCGTCAGAAAGGCCACGGTCAGCAAGGAGCTCTGCCACAACGGTTCACATTAACGGAAGAAAGCTGAGAGCATAAGTCTATGGCAATTGTGAATGACAAGAATTTAGGGACATCATAGCATGTGCAATGTATGATATCTCTGGCAATTGTGAATGACAAGAATTTAAATAGATAAATAAATAGCGGTTTCAGCGTTATTAGGCCGTAGGCCTGTCGCCGATTCTTAACATCGCAGAACATTCACAGCATGTTGCGGGCTCTAACTTCGCAATTCACTGCTACAATTCTGCTGTGCTTAACCGCCCGGCCTCCTTGCCGATTCTGACCAGAAACTGGCGCACAGAGCTGGGATCGAACCCGCACCTCTCTGCGCCAATCTTGGTACTCTTAACTTTAACCACTGGGCCACCCTGCCCTTAAAGACATCATATAGCATGTGCAATGTTTATGATATCTCTGGCAATTGTGAATGACAAGAATTTAGAGACATCATAGCATGTGCAATGTATCACAGTCAGGAATAGTTGTTACTATGGCGAGGCATAATTTGACAAGGACGTAAATATACTCAATAAAGTGCGATACGAAAATTATTGTCTGTTAATAAGAGAATTTGAAATTCTCATTAGGTTAGATAATTATATACAAACTACACAACAGGAATGAAACGGCACCTTGTTTACTTTGGACAAATTGCAATGCAAGGCAATACCTGCGAACCTTCACTATCCTGGACTTATTGTAATGCAAGGTAATACCTGCACCAGCGCCCGGGTGCTGCTGGGCTGTCTATGGACCTTCACTATCCTGGACTTATTGTAATGCAAGCAATACCTGCACTAGTGCCTGGGTACTGCTGGGCTGTCTATAAACCTTCACTATCCTGGACTTATTGTAATACCTGCACCAGCGCCCGAGTGCTGCTGGGCTCGAACGGCTTGTGCACGATGAAGCAGAGGAGCGCGAGCAGCAGCAGTGCCGCCTTCACTAGGAAGTACAGAGGGAACAGTACGATCTGCACCTGCGCGAACACGTGTCGAGGAACACTGAAGAACAGCGCTAAACCTGTAATGAATAGGATTGAGTAATTAGAGAAACTCGTCTGACTTAAGGGAAAACATCGTTGGCGCTCCAAGTATGAACGCGTTCAAGAACAGACTAGATAAAGCTATGGAAAAATATATGTTCAGATTTGAAATGCCTAGCTCCTTATCGAACCCGGTGGAAGTCTAGTAGCTACTTCAAACTATCGCCAGTCATGAAAAGATCCGGTCAAATGACACGAGTTTAGATCTATGAACAAGGCACGAAATGGAAAAGAATCGGCGACAGGCCACATCAGGCCTACACTTCAGCGCCGACATCACTATGTTATGTTATGTTAAATGAGTGATCTGGCGAGGCTTGACCGTGTTATATGCTTAAGTAATCAATATGTCAACTGACGGCAACTTTCGTTGCAAGGCATTTACGTAGAATATCATTGCTAACGTTTAATTTATTCTCCGATAAATTGCCAATGCAGGAAAACAAATACACGAGCATATTTGTTTGTATATGAGCACTTATAAGTGATCTGAACTTATAGTTAATTAAGTAATACGTCAACTAACGGCAACTTTCGTGTCAAGGCATTTACGTACGAATATCATTGCTAACGTTTAATTTATTCTCCGATAAATTGTCAATGCAAGAAAACAAATATACGAGCATATTTGTTTGTATATGAGCACTTAAGTGATCTGAACGCAACTCACCCGAAAAAAAAGTCATCCAGCACTCAGTGCCGAAGGTTGCGCTGAGCAGGACGGCGTAAAGGGTGCGTGTGTGCGCCGTGTAGCGCTCAGAGACGTGCCACGGCACGGGACAGAGACGCACGGCTATGAACACTGACAGCGCCACTGCCAGCAGCGGCAATGGGCTTACCTGCTGCGCCAGCTCTCTGTGCAACATTGAACAATATTATATCGCTTTCTAAGCCTTCATTGACAGTTATAAATAATGTTAAAAAGTTGAATACTTCAAATTGACAGTTACTTTTATATAAATAATGTTAAAAAGTTGAATACTTCAATTGAAATTAGTTTATCTGCTGCGCCAGCTCTCTGTGCAACATTGAACAATATTATATCGCTTTCTAAGCCTTCATTGACAGTTATAAATAATGTTAAAAAGTTGAATAATTCAATTGAAATTAGCTTGGCTGCTGCACCAGCTCTCTGTGCAACATTGAACAATATTATATCGCTCTATAAGCCTTCATTGAGTTATAAATAATGTTAAAAAAACTGAATACTTCAATTGAAATTAGCTTATCTGCTGCGCCAGCTCTCTGTGCAACATTGAACAATATTATCGCTGTCAAAGCCTTCATTGACAGTTAGTTATAGATAAATAATGTTAGAAAAGTTGAATACTTCAATTGAAATTATAGCTTATCTGCTGCGCCAGCTCTCTGTGCAACATCGCATAATATTATCGCTGTCATAGCCTTCATTGACAGTTAGTTATATGTAAATAATGTTAGAAAAGTTGAATACTTCAATTGAAATTAGCTTATCTGCTGCGCCAGCTCTCTGTGCAACATTGAATAATATTATATCGCTATCTACGCCTTCATTGACAGTTAGTTACGTATAAATAATGTTAAAAAGCTGAATAATTCAATTGAAATTAGCTTATCTGCTGCGCCAGCTCTCTGTGCAACATGGAACAATATTATCGCTCTATAAGCCTTCATTGACAGTTATAAATAATGTTAAGAAGTTGAATAATTCAATTGAAATTAGCTTATCTGCTGCGCCAGCTCTCTGTACAACATTGAACAATATTATCGCTGTCAAAGCCTTCATTGACAGTTAGTTATATATAAATAATGTTAAAAAAGCTGAATACTTCAATTGAAATTATAGCTTATCTGCTGCACCAGCTCTCTGTGCAACATCGCATAATATTATCGCTTTATAAGCCTTCATTGACAGCTATAAATAATGTTAAAAAGCTGAATACTTCAATTGAAAATAGCTTATCTGCTGCGCCAGCTCTCTGTGCAACATTGAACAATTATACCGCTCTATAAGCCTTCATTGACAGTTATAAATAATGTTAAAAAAGCTGAATAATTCAATTGAAATTATAGCTTATCTGCTGCGCCAGCTCTCTGTGCAACATTGAACAATATTATCGCTTTCTAAGCCTTCATTGACAGTTATATACAAATATGATGTTAAAAAAGCTGAATAATTCAATTGAAATTAAAAAATTATAAATGCTTATATTATGTTTATTGTACTGTTTAGATTTGACCTGCTTAATGAACGATTGTAGTCTTTCAAGCCGAGGATATCCAAGGTACCGAGCATGTGAAATCATTGAACGCGTTTGGTTGTTCTAACATCACAACACATGCAGGCTGTTCGGTTTTTTGCTTCGTTCTGATTATCTTATCCAATGATAACTCTCATGTCAATGCGACACGAAAAACGCCACGAAGTGCTAAATTTGCAAGCGTGGAGATTAAGGTTTAAGATTCAAGGACAAACCACGAAGTGCTAAATTTGCAAGCTTAGAAATTAAGGTTTAAGATTTTAGGTGCGAATGGCACCTGTATTCATAAAGCTCTACCTCATGGTACAAAATAGACTTTTGAAAAGAAAACCTGAAATGAACCCTTCTATACGAAGAATGAAATGCCTTAAAACGCATCGTTATCGAGGCTTGATCTTTGTCCACGTCGTGTACGACGTGGAGCATCAACACTCCTGCTGACCTCACCGCCATCACTCCCGCAGCTACTGATGCAATCTGGTGAAACTTCGATTGATATGCAAATGAGGAGCGACAAAACGATCTGCCTTCAGTGGGGCAGCCTTTCAGACCTGTAGCCTTTCTACCATCCGCCGAGACTTGTGTTATGCACAAATCTGGCATTTCTTCACTTGTTAAACGATTCAAGATGACGGAACTATTGCAATGTGTTGACAGACAGCGAACAGGTAATTAAATTTTTACACCTTAAGCAATTTTTCATTATGAAGAATGATATATATTAAAGTATGATCTTTAAATATTTATGAACTGATCTGTCCATAACGAATAATTTATTTAGATATCGTTTCTCACGAAAGAACGGTCAAGTTTGACTTTATTTAAGAATTTACAAATTTTGTACCATGAGTTAGTTAGAGAACACTATGTTTAATTTATTACACTTACTCGTACCAAGGTCTCTCTCCGGAGCCGATACACTCAAAGTCTTTGTACTTAGCAGCAAATTGTTTGATTTTCTCTTTGGTTTTCTTAGTTGGCTCTTTAGGACTTGCTCCAAAAAGTTTCTTCACCTCTTCCAAACTCAGTTCCTCTTGCTGTGAGAGTCCTGGTAAAAGTCCGTAGCCTCCGAAAGAGTAGGACTTTCTTACATCCTTCAGGAAGGTCTGGCCCCCTAGTGTGCTGGAGTTTTCTCGTCTCTCCATTATAATGATTTAGATTCAATATCAACTAAAGTTTACGAGCACTAGCAGCACGATCACCGATTAAATTTAAATAGATGCAATTTACGATTTGTTCTGGTGGTGATTATTTAAATCAAGAATACTCCAAAATACTGCCTGGTGAACTAGTATATGACTGTAAGTAGAGAGCCACAATTAAGCCCGACATAAAATGATATCAAGTAATATAAGAATGTCTTAATATTTAATTCAATCGTCTTCACCCTCGCATGCCAAAAGAATGTTCAAAAATATTTTAAATATTTTATTAGGGTCTTTCACCGAAACAATCGTATAAGTTGCCTACCAATTATAGCTTTTTCAATTTCACAACGTCGTTATCTGTAAATGCGCTCTTCAAATTCGACTGTTATTTCATGCTCAAACCAGCAACCAGCGTCACACATTTCTCTACAGTCTACATGGTGAATATATTCCTAGCCATAGGAGGTTCTTAAGCTTATAGCAACAATTCTGAGGATGACGAAGTTGATGCGTTGAACCTGACGATGATTTGGAACCATGGGACTCGACCATTTCGACCAAAAACTACGAAAACAAACGAAAAAATAAAATGATTTACATGCAACCGAAGAAAAAGATGTTTTCGGTATTAAAAAAAAGTTAAATTTGTTGACATCGATGAACTTATACATATACTGTATACTTCAGACGGAACAAGTGATACAAAATAATTTGTTTATTATTGTTGAAAGGGAACCATAGAATTCTCTAGAACCATGCTGAGTCACATGAAGAACTTTAGACCAATTCTTCGGTAAAGATGATGTAGTTATTTAATTGACTTATCTGAGTCTGGCCAGCAGGCAGCTCTTCAGTACAATAGTAGTATATTCTCTATGTATAGTATATTCATTATGTTGTCCATAAGCAGTTACACCTACAGAGAAGGAAGATAGAAAAATGCTCGGATTGCGCAGACCAGATTTGGATTTTTTTTGTAAGCACCAAGAGAAAGTATTCACTAGTCAGGCGCGGCATCAAAGCAAAATAAGAAATTCGTTCAGACGTGGGTGTAAGAAACAGGGATTTAAAACATATTAACTGAACGTAACAAATTTAAAGGCAAGTTCAGTTGCTATCGAACAAATAAATGAAAACTGAAATATGTTGATTCATGCCTCGTCACTATAAAATTCGACTACTTTGGACAATACAATTGTAGGATAGTTATTTTTTAAGCTTATAGACTCGTTCACCTTCCACACAAATGTCAGCTGAGACGGTGTAGCGAAGTCCTCGGCGTTGCAGCGGACGGACTTCTAGCATTATTCGGGCACAGCGCCTCGGAAATAACTCATCAATGTGCAAATATACATTGGAATGCATTTTCATACTATAAAAATTCTACAACAATTTAGGACTGATCGGGTAGCATTTAAAAGTTGTGATAGAGCCTAAAAAAAGACCCTATTTCAAACTTTCGTCAGTCGTGAAAAGATCCGGTCAAATGACACGATTTTAGATCTTCTGTGAACAAGGCACGAAAAGGAAAAGAATCGGCGACAGGCCACATCAGGCCTACACTTCAGCGCCGAGATCACTATGTTATGTTATGTTTTGAATGATCTGAATTTAGGCCATAATAATGCAAAAATGGACTGGTGCATTATGGCTTGGCTACATTAAATAAAAATCACCGTGATAATCGTTTACCAATACACGCATTTAACATTGGGCCTTCTCATCCCCAGTAATGTTGCACGAGTTAAAAAAGTAGCGATTTAATTTCCAAAATTGATGAAGAAAAGATTTTGTTTGTAATGTTGACAGTTGACAATAAAGCAGCGAAGAATTATCGGAAAGTTAAATTTTACGAGCATTTTTGTACAGCCACTGGCAATGCTTGCGAAATCATAAGAATTCCATAATATCTTGAATTCAGCGTCGCCCATGCAGAAAAAGGGCGTCGTGAAAAAAGAAGTGATGTCGAAACTGCATTATTAGGAAAAAAAACAAAAAATCGAAGCAAAGAAAAGCAAGATGATTCGGATAAGTGTCTATAAGTAATAGACAAGATTTTTTACTATAACGAGTGAGCGCCAGAAAAAAACTCATGAAGAACGACAACAAACACCCGTGTTGTCAGTAAATGAACATTCAACATTTATGAAAAAAACATGACAGCGGTGGGATTCGAACCCACGACGCATCGACAAGATTTTTTACTATAACGAGTGAGCGCCGGAAAAAAAACTCATGAAGAACGCGTAGTTTGCTTTTTCTTCATCCTAAGAAAAAGTACCATACTTCGTCGTGATGCAAAAGACAAAAAAGCCGAGTGAGCCTATATTATCTGACTGCAGGTTGTCAGAAAGTCTTCGACTGACATAGCAGATTAAACGATGTTAATTGAACTGCGGTTATGTTCATGACTATTTCAACGCTTTGGCCGTAACCCAGCTGAGTTCAAAGTCGGCTATTCTTACGGTCGATAGTACAGAAGTCTGAAAGCTGAATCCAGTTTAACCGTTTTAATTACATTTATACCTCGATTGCACTGGGATGAAAAATAATCACCAGATTTTCACAAGAAAAATAAACTGAAAACGCCTTTTGATTCATGCATCTAGCAGAAAAATTATTAACAACTGACCCTTCAGAAGTTATCGAGAAACGAATATGCGCATTTTCAAAACTTTATAAACTAAGCCTCAGTGTCAAGGTGGAGTTGACATCAAATGAAGGCAATGGAGTTTGAAATAACAGTAACAAATACTGGCAGGCTGAATGAAGCATGCACACTTCTATACATTGACATGCACACTTCTAGCATTGACATGAACACTTCTAACATTTACATACACAGTTCTAGAACAAATAATGCGGATAGAGCTGTTGTGGCCGACACCGTGTGATGGATGGCAGGATGGAAGTCGTAGCGGTAAGTTTTCTTAGCACTAAAAGAGCACCAGAGATTCAGGCCGCGGCAGAACAATTTGCCCAATACGAACATACAAATATATGTCCCTATTGCAAGATGGAAAGATAACGAGTGAAATAGAAACAATGTTTTCAATGTAACTACTTATAATAAAATACAACAAACTGTCATAGATGAATGATGAATAGAATCAGTTTCTTACGCTTGTTGTCACGTACATTTAGGTAGAATCATTCGAACAATAAGAAATTTACGACGAAGCAGTGAAGGCAATACACTCAAGGAATCAACGAGCTAACTGACTAGTTCGTGATGACTTGCGATATCATGGCAAAATTTTGTTATTTTATATAACTTAACTTTATCATTTATCTGATATTATAACTTATAAGAATATTTTTCGTTTATATAATTCAGACACTGGTGGTAGATACTCCCCTTTTACTACGAGTATTAAATTCTCCTCTCATATATACTGGGTCTCTAATTTTTTCAACTATAAAATTTTATTTAACTATATATATAGTTTCCATTAAACGAATCATATATAAACCCATGCCTCATCAGAGCTTTGGGAAGGAAAAAAGTGTGTATATGGACTTACGTACGGAATGCATCACCCTAATTTACGTGCTAGTCTAGTAAATACACCAAAAGTTTTTAAAGTTCTTGGAAGGTTTTTGTTATTATTTCACTCTAGGGCGATTGCAATAGACCAGATTTTTGTACATTCCTCGCTTCAATTGCAAGGCTGCTTCGTGTACTGGGAATAACTGTGGCTTGCCGTGACATTTGTTCTGAATCTCGTAAAAACTAATAAGATTATAAGTGAATTCATTTTTAACTTTCGTGATTGTAGTAACTTTTAAAAAAACGCAACAAAAAGCTTAGGGACGTTGCTGTCTTCATTCCCATGCATATATGAACCGAGGTGCATATTGCGGTGTTATCATTGACGTCTTTCTACACCTCAAGTAGGAGGCAGACAAAAATACAAAACAGGATAAAATACCAGCGCAGTAATTTAGACAATAATGAGAAATAAATAACTGCTAAACAAATGAACAAATTACATAAATCTCCATTTCGACAAATAAACAGAGACCTCTGAATGATAGGGATGACATAGAGTCTTCGGACCCAGTGAAAATTTACAGACGCGGCAGCATCTGACTTGGATTACCAGAAGCTGGTGCGACTCTAAATTTTGTTAGGAGAGTAGCCCCATGGTTGAACTAGTATAAGTTTGACCCATGAGAAGCTCATTTTCGCGGATGGAGCTTTTTGTTCACATGTGACGTCACGATCTCAGTGACGTCATGGGCATTACCCAATCACCGAAATGCGTTCAAACCTGACGGCCGATCATGGGAATGACGGGTTTGTTTACGTTTCTCGATCTACGTGGCGTAACAATAAAGGTGAACTGAAAGACGGAACTTCTCGTGGGTCAACCTTATATAGTTTAACCATGAGTATCCCTGATACGCGCTGAGGAACACGTGGTCTCAAGGAGCGGAGGATGCCAGGTCAAGGACGCCTCCGTCTGCCGTGCCACAGGTCACGTAGCGAAGACGCTTCCTAACGGGACCTTAAGTTCTAGTAAGGAGGACGGTGAATATAGAATAGAATAGAATAGAATAGAATAGAATAGAATAGAATAGAATAGAAGTGTCGGCGTTGAAGAAATAGGCCCATGGCCTGTTGCCGATTATTGTACTTTTCGTGACTTGATTCACAAGGGATCCGGCCTTTGGAACCCGATCTTTCCACAAGTATGGAACGCGTCAAGATTCTCGCATGGCTTCTCATGTCAATTATATTATCTATGGCAGCAAGCTTGGAGTACAATTTTAAGTCTAATTATGTTTATGTAAAAGAGAATAAGAAGAAAATTTGAATACTTTATATTCGTGTGTAAAGATGATGAACAAAATGTAAAGGAAACTTTGTGAGCGAAATTTACCGAATTTAATTTTAAAGTTATTTATGCAATAATATAAAAAAATATAAAAATAGGGCATTCGAACACAATAATATACAAATGAATTAAGTCATTCAAAAATTAAATGGGTGAAAATTAACCGGGCAGAGAAAGGCTGAGCGACACGCGCCCCAGTTGCGTAAGCTTACCATCAGTCCGCGACATTTTAACGGCACAACGGAAAAAGGCAATCGGGGTTGCGGAGGCTACGAACGATTGCACAATGCACATTACCAGTGGTGTACAA